TGCATTACATTATCTTTTTCCCACCATCGTAAACTTATACGAACTTCTGTAAAGTTAAAGTTATGCCAGAAGATCACAAAGCGAAGGTTCTCCTTTAGATAGCCAGTAAGAATCCTGAGTAACATTATCTTCACATGTGAAATAGACAATCCAAGTCTCATGTACATTTAATAATTTAGCGTAATTAAGTGCTCGTATAAAATGATCATCAAGTTCATTTTTTGTGACCATGACCAAAAGTTCAAGAATGACTATTTGATATATGAATATTATTACTATATCAGAATACTTGTGATTAATATGTTCATTAGCGTCATAGATAAGATGCCACTGTCCAGTGACCTCAAAGGTACATTGCTTGATAATCTAGTTTACAAAGATCCTATTCAGTTCTGTATCATATACACTTTCTCGAGAGACCTTTACATTGCGATCATCATTCACATTTACAAGTGCATTTTTGAATGATCGACAGAATGCTCTGGAAATGATATTTTTGTCAAAGAAATGAATGGCTTTCACCAAAGTGTTCAAAGTTTTTAGAGTGCCATTAGATTTTTGTAGAACTGCAAGATGCAGGCTGGACTAATATACTTCAGGAATAACCTGTTGATGAATTAGCTCGTCAATAAAAGCAAAAGACATTTTAAATTTCTCATATCCTCTTCATCTGTTATTAGCACCCCTTTTGCTGTTAGGAACTCTGTTAGTTTTTTTTCATAGGAGTCATTAATCGATACATAATTGAAAAATCCTAGAAATATAAATCTAAGAAGTTTCATAACGGCTTGCTCATCTCGCTGTTGAGTGTATTGATCATTCTTCTGAAAGTTGGGTAAATAAGTATATTATCTTGTAATAACGTGAACCTTTTTCATGTTATGAAATTGAGCTTCTTATTTTTGCTAACTTGATGAAATAAGTATGAGTTAATAGTATACTCACAAAGACAGACTAGATCAGCATGCTTGTTTATAAACCTTAAAAAAAATTAATTCATTGTGAATATATTACAATCAGCTTCTATACCTATTTGTCCATGAATAGATATCTTTGACAACTTAAAAATCAATAATCATATTACGCTCCTGTGCAAACTCTTTATATATAAACTTTACTTGCTCCAATGTTAAGTTTGAATTCTAAAACAGATCCTTAATGTTAAATAGAGATGAATTTTTTGTATTTAAATGTAAAATATTAAAAGGACTTATTGTAATGATAAAATGAATAGCATAATTATGTCTTGTTATTTTAATTCTGTGAAGGGTCTTCAAACACGAAGAAAGAACTTCTTCTGTTATAGAGTATAATTTATCAAATTCGTCAAAAAGGAGAATAACATCAAACTTCTATTTGTTTCTCTGAAACGCTTATTGAAAATTAGTTGCAGAATTGATGGTATCATGATCGATATGTTTAGAATCAAGGTTGAGATTAATACTAAGTGATCACCAAAAGTTATTTTCACTACCTTTAATAATGATATGCTTAAAGGATACACTACCAGAAGAGAATGAGAGAGTAAGATTAATGGATGGTAGTTATATTGCATAAAGCCATACGTGCTTAAGCACTTATTATATACAAACAAAGCCTTTATATTGCAATTGTTTCTGGATTTGTAACACTCGTGTAGTTTTGCCAGAGGCCTGTAGCTTATATAATACCACAAATTCACTTCACTCAATCATCTTAAGAAGTTAGATGTTTCATTCCATTGGATCTGCAAAGAAGTAAAATTGGATTTTTTCTGGAGTAATTGTACCATTAACCATCCATTTTCTTTTCTTCTTCATAGTCGTATCTAATTAAATGAAAATATATGAGAATAATGAAACATGCAAAAACAATTTTATGCATTTTTATGTTCTTTAGTTTTCCTGTTTTCTCAAGTTTTGAGAGTAAAACAATAGTTAAAAATAAAATGATAATGAGGAAAGTAGTGTAGAATTTGATATATTCAAATGCAGTTTATTTTAATGATAAGCAGAGAAGAAAATAATAAAATTAATTAAGTATTCAATGTAACAGCAGAAATAAGAATTAAGCAACAAATTTATATCTATAGCAATGGGTTGATCTATAATAACACACAATAAGATTAGGTAAGTATTCGGTATATTATTATATAAAAGAAAGGTGAAACATAGAAACGAGTAATAAATACTATTAAAATAACTGCCTTGAATGATATATAAATTATTTATAAATTGAACTTACTTTGGTTATTTAACTGAGTGACAAACACCACAATGGTTGTGACTAGAGCTCTTCTTAAACCCATTTGCAAAAGATCCTCTTTGATTACCAAAAGAAACGCTTTACCATGGTACCCTTCATTTTCAATTTTATTGATTTTAAAATCATTAAGAGAAAAATAAACTTTATTGGATTCTAAAAAATTTTTAACGTTTGTTACAGTCTAACCATTAACTGTTTCGAAAGATGGAGTATTTATCTTATATGTGGATATGTTATTTTATTATACAATCAATTCAATTCAAAAAAAATGTGTTTATATAAGAAATCTATTATCGCTAGGGATTGGAATTAATTTTGATATTTAGAATCGATTTGAGAATCGATTTAATTATGATTTGTTTCTCAAGAATCGATTCAAAGATTCAATTATCGATTTTTACATATTAAATTTTATGCGTAGCTAAATCTCTAAGAACTATATAATTTTAATGATAATAATTAATCGCAAAAATCATTTTGTTTAATAAATTATTTATTTATATTTTCGAATGAATATCAAAATTTTATTATTTTTCCAATAAAACTAAACATCTCTTGAAGAATATGATCCTTTTATATGGTGGTTGACAAATAAAAGCCAATATCCAGTTTTATATAAATTAGTAATACCCGCAACATCTGTCCTACCAGAAAGACTTTTTTCTGATGCCAAAAATTTAATTACATCTCAAAAAACTCGTCTTGATTCATTTTTTATCAATCAACTTATGTTTTTAAAACGGAATAGAGAATATATTAATTTATATGGAATAGAAGATGAATTAGCAGGTAATTTTATTACATTAAGATAATGTTGGAATTCATCTTTTATTGGTACAGCAGTTTTAGCATTCTTTCTTTCCAAAAATTTCCCATTGCTATTGTTAATTCATTCAAAAATGCTATTTTATTTTTAATACTTCAAATTCTGCTCTCAATTGATTAATAATAATGTTATTAGCTTTTTCTTGTGAATTAATAAAATCTAAGGTTTTAAATCAAGGATCAAAAAATGATTCCTTTTAAACATAATTCTTAAGAAAATTCCTATCTTTTTACTAAAACTTTTAAAAATTTCATTTTGACAATTCTTAACATCAACTGTTTTTAATGATTTAAAATTGATTTCAAGCCTTTCTCTTAAATTATATATATTTGGATATGTAACACTAATAGTTGGATACTTAAAAAGCATGTTGCATTTTCAAAAGGATTTAAAAGAACTACTACTTCTTTAATTACCTTTTACAGTCAAATTTTGATATAGTGAACTCTTGATATAACGAATTTTTTGAACAAATATAATAAAAATACTCTTGT